TAGAGTACCGGTTAAAGTCATGTATTATAAACATAGTCTCTTGTGGGGAGAGCGTGATACTTGTGTATAGATCTATATTGGGACTGACAATCCCACACCTAAGCTGCTTGCAACAGCTAGACCGGCGGGTCTGGGGTGACGAATGTCAAAACATTCTGACGCCCAAAGTACGTCGTAACAGGCTTAATATGTCAATTGCACGGATATAATAACTCACATAGGGAAACAACAACACATATAGTTTACGGGGATTCTTACATTCAAAAAGGGTTTTCATTTACACTACATGTAAAATCCTTGAATCAAATTTGTGAGACATTACTTCATTGTACTCTTTAGAGTACTGGTTAAAGTCTTGTATTATAACCATAGTCTCTTGTAGGGAGTGCGTGATACTTGTGTATAGATCTATATCGGGACTGACAATCCCGCACCTAAGCTGCTTGCAACAGCTAGACCGGCAGGTCTTTGGTGACAAATGTCAAAACATTTCGTCGCCCGAAGTATGTCGTAACAAGCTTAATATGTTAATTGCACGGTTATAATAACTCACATAGGGAAACAACGATACATATATTTTACAGGAATTCTTACATTCATAAGGATTTTATTTATTTAAAACTGCACTTACTATCATAAGTATGAAAAATACTTGTACATTTCGGTCTTTAAGTTTTAAGACTGCAACTCATTTTATAAGGAAAATATTGGAATTTTTCTTGAACATACATTACATTTACAAAGAAAGAAGTTCTAATTATGCACTACTACAGTATACTATATTCAAGAACAAACATTCACACTTATCGGTCTTAGGGTAGTTAAGACTATATTTCGTCTAGAATTGTTAGATTCTGTCCATAGTTGCTATGTGTATATGGCATAGTTATATAAAAGTTAGACACAATCGACATGGAAATGGTTGGGTCCGCCTTAGATCATGTTCCTTGTTTTGTTGTGGGCTTAGGACAGACCCATTATATTCGACGGTTTATTCGATCTTGATTTTATATAACTTATATACACTGGGGGATTATAGAAGGAAGCTATAAGTCTTTCTAGGAGTACACTATTTTATGACACAGAAACTTACATATCTGGAGTAACTTTTACCCGGGAGCATGCATACATAAGGGTTGTATCATCATAAAACTACATTGCACTGTTTTCAAGTACAGAACAACTTTCATTTCGGAAATCATACATCCAAATGGCTATTATATAGATTAAAATCTACGTAATATTACTACTTAAGAATATGATAACATTTATACATTTTGGTCGGAAGGGACTAGGACTACATTCCATTTTACTAAAAAAATATAGGATTTTATGGAGGAGCATACGAACATTTTCAAGGAACAAAGAACCTCTTTTCTAAAACAAAATGCTTATGAACTCACCAACATAAATGTTGACACTCTTTCAAAATTACTTGTATTCTCAGGAATCCAGTAGTCAGGTACACGCACAGGTTTTCAAGAAGACGGAGCATAATAGCTTCTAGTCTTAGTTTTTACTATATACATTTGGAGTCATTCAAGCTATGTTTCGAGTACAATGTAAAAACTATATTATCAATACAATGGTTGTTGTTGCTTTGATTACTATTATTCATTTGTGATGATATTGTACAAGATGTCCTTCGCCCCCGAACGTTTCCGCCGTCTCGGTTTGGGGATGTGACAGATTGGTATCAGAGCATTGTTTATAGTGAACTGAGTATATCAACCCATAAGAAGATATACAACTATAAATACAAAGGGGCCGAAGTGCTCTGACTAAAAGTATACTTTTAAAATATAAGTATTTTATGAGAAGTATACGAACATGCATAAATACTAGAACAAGTATTACAAGAAGAACAAAACAGAAGTATTTAGAGGTTGGACACTTCAGTCAAACCTAGACAGTTATGTAATCATATCTGGGATAAATATAGCCTGATCAACTATAATTATTTGAGATACGACCAACATGTGTTTGGGAGTGATAGTGGTGTTGCAACAAGTCTAAAACTTACAAACTCTATATACAAAGGATTACTAGAACCAAACATAAAGTTTAAAATACTATAGGAGTATTTTAGGCACTATAACTAACTTATGTGAAAACTAAAATACCCTTCGTGGTAGGTCTATAATTACTAAGTGTATACGTTAAGGTTATATATAATTGAGATTTTATAGACTTAGAATTTGTGATTTTCGCTCTACTTCCTGTTCCTTGTTTGGTTGTGGTCTTAGGGTAGGATCGCTTATTCGAAGGTCTATCTGATCTTGGTTATATATAATCTGTATACACTACGTGATTATAGGAGGACCCGGTAAGGATCATCATAAAAATTTCAATAGAGATACTTTTTATTAATATCATAGATTCTTTATACACCCCTAATTCTCGTACAAACGACATATCTAGACATCACAACCCCACTACCACAGCCAACAGAGGAGCTGAGGAGGAATCAAAAGAGGGTTCACGAGGAGAGTTCTGAGAAAGGATTGGACGAAGAGAAAGGCACTAGAGAGATCACTAACGAACCTTACCCTATCAGAAACAAACTGGAGAGCCCGCTCGGACAATTGGGTCCAGTTTAGGGCAATCGTAGGAACGATAACACCATAGGAATGCCAGGAGAAAACCAATCCTTACAGCTGCGACTAAGGCAATCTGTCACACCCCCAAACCAGACGGCGGAAACGTCCGGGGGTGGATGACTTCATTTGTAGTATCACAACACATGCATCATAGTAATCAAAGTACAAACAATCATTGTATTTAAAAAGTATAAGTATTTACATGTGTTCAATCATTGTATATTGAAACCAAAATAGTTATACAAAAGAAGAAGATATGACTCAAAATAGCTCCATCTTCTCAAAAGCTTGGGGAGTACCTGTCTATTGATTCCCTCAGAATACAAGTAATTTGAAAAGAGAGTATCAACATAAAGTTGAGTGAGTGCATAAGTATTTATGTTTGAAAGTATGTTTCTGTTTCTTGAATATGTAAACTGTTCCAGAAAATCCTATATTTTCTGCTGTATATGAAAAGTAGTTTTAATCTCATAAACCGTTATGTTTGTAAACAATGTTCTGTGTTTGTATTCCTTTTTGTAAAACTTGTAACTGTGAGTGTGCCTGGTTCCACCAGTTGTTATTGTAAACTGTAATGTAATACTGTAAATTGTATCTTGTAAAACTAGTACATTGAAAATGTACTTATGTTTAGTTATTTATACACTAACGTATTGTTAATATCTTTTTAATGAGTTATTATAACCATACTGACTAGATGGCCTGACCCAACGCTATGAATGTGTTAAAGTTGTTGATAACAACTGTCACTCGAAGGCGTGTATGCCTGACTGTAGCTAGCAGTCTGCGTACGGGGTTGTCAATCCCAATATAGATCTATATGTATTGTTTCGATCCCCGACTGGAGATTCTGGTTATAATGTCAGGACTTTAACTAAATTGTTTAAATGAATTAAACGACCTGAATCAAATGACTCATAAAAAGCATATAGACGTTACATGTATAATAGTTATGAAAACCCAATCATTCTGAAATGAATGATTGACAGTATGCCCCTGAATTAGTATATGAAAAATGTATACTCTTGATTAGTTTTGAATCAAACCTTTGTTCTTGTAAAACAGTGTACTTTAGTATACTTAAATCGTGAATTAATGTGCTATTAATCATAAATTATATTTATTATAATTTATATGTACTTTCTAAATTGATACTAACTGTTCATGAATGCAACCCCTTGCTCAACTTGTTACAAAGGGTATCTAAACTGAATGAAATAACTTTTATATTTATATACATATACAAATATATATAAGTAAAAGTTAAATGACATTCGGACAAATAATCGATACTTATAATCCCACATCCAAACAAGGAAAAGGAACCAAAGTGGGTTATCAGTCCTAAGCCTTTTAAATCTTATATATATATATATATATATATATATATATATATATATATATATATTATATATATATATATATATGATTTTTGGGGAAAAACATAAGTTTATAAAATCATTTAAAAGAAGTTTAATATTTTGAAATACTTTTGGTGACTTGATTCATTTTAACACAATCTTTGAAAACCATTTGTTTTGATGATATCTGAAATCCATTTTGATAAGATATTTCAAACCATTTGTTTATAACACAAAATCTTTGTGTTAGACTTGTATCCCCCCCCCCTTTAAAACAGTAAAAACTATGAAAATACGCGGGTATGAACTCACCTTTTGGAGGGTGATTCAAATGATGATTTGATATAGGATGCTTAGTTCCACGAGTGAAATCCCGCAAGAAAACAAGTCAAATTGAAGTGTTTGAAGCTATATTGGAGGCTGAAATGGGTTTACGGCCAGGAGTTTACGGCCAGGAGGGTTTACGGCCAGGTGTTCTTGAAGGATGAAGAACACTTGATGATCCTAGACCAAATTCTAAGAAGATTCAAAGGTTTTGAGGTGCTTGTTCTTCGTGTTCTTCACGTATTCTTCGCGTTCTTCATGAAAACTAGTGAAACCAATGGATTTTAGCCTAATAAATGAAGATGGAAGAGTGTTCTTGAAGTGATAACAAGATCAAGAATTGATACCTATTAGATCTTGTGATGAACTAGTTGTTTAACACTTGAACAAGATGAACAAGGATGATCTTGGTGTGTTCTTGAGGAGATATGATGTTCTTGGTGGATGATACTTGAGAGAAAAAGCTTGAAATCTCGAGTGGAAGTGAAGAAATGAAGTAAAAACTAGCTGGAACATATATATATATATATATATATATATATATATATATATATATAGAGAGAGAGAGAGAGAGAGCTAGGTTCAGGTATTCAAAGTAATTATTGTGTTATTGAAATGCATAAATGTGGGCCAATCAAAATTTAAAATAAAAATAAATAAATAAGGGTAAATAGGTAATTTGATAATTAGTTTCCACAAATAATATCCTATAATTATGGTAACCATTGACTTCAGCTACATAAGTTTTCTCCATCCATCTTCAGCTTTTTAAAACCACCTCCAATATAAACTGTATCCCTAATCAAACAATCTCCAGCCGTCACCTCCATCCTCATACCTTCATTCCAAAGGGTTTTCTATAACCTTTTCTCACTCGGAGCTCAACCCACCAGACCCTTCTAATCACCCTGACTTCATCTTCCTCCCTCTGTCGGACAAATTATCCGACACCGGGTGCTCTTCCGGCTTCATTCAGTTCTTGCAAGCTCTAAACGATAACTGCAAACCCCATCTTCAGAAACACCTCATCCAGATAATAGATGCACAAAAGGCCTCATCTCAAAAGGAATCAATCGTTATCATCCATAATAATCTCATGTTTTGTGTCGGATCAATCACCGGCGATCTGGGTCTACCCTCCATCGTAGTGCGCAGCAGCAGTGCAGCCTGTGTTCCTGCTTACAGAATCATCCCTCAGCTCCATAAAGAAGGTCAATTCCCTGTAGAAGGTAAGTGCAGATCACAAACCCACACAAACAAACACAACCTAAAAGAAAATATGATCACAGATTATAATTTATAGATCGAGATAATAAATTCTGTCTTCAAGATTCTTTGCTGCAGGAAATGGTTCCGGGACTCCATCCACTCAGATACAAAGATATACCATTTATTGGCCTCACAACACAACAAAGCCTGAAATTGACAACATTGTTCTCCTCAAAAACACACCCGGTTTCTTTCATATGGAACACCATCGAATTTATTGAACAATCAGCACTGACCCAGATCCGTCATCGCTACCAAGTTCTAGTTTTTACCATCGGCCCATTACACAGACCATCACCAACCCCTTCCGATAGTTTTCTTGAAGAAGATACCAATTGCATTTCATGGCTAGATAAACAATCACCCAAATCAGTAATTTACGCAAGTGTAGGAAGCTGTGCAACCATGGATGCAAAAGTGGCGACTGAAATGGCATGGGGCCTAGCCAACAGTAACCAGCCATTCATATGGGTGGTTCGACCGGGTTCGGTTCATGGGTGTGATTGCATCGAGCTTTTGCCTGAGGATTTGGTAAGTGAGATGAAGGTGAAAGGTTTGATCGTAAAATGGGCACCCCAGAAGGACGTATTGGCACATTCTGCAGTTGGAGGATTTTGGAGCCATGTGTGGTTGGAATTGGTGAGATTCCAATTCTGTTGGAATGGAATCACGAATTCCAATTCTGTTGGAATGGAATCACGAATTCAAATTATGTTGGATTCATAGAAGTTGATGCTTGAAGAACGGACCACAAAATTGAAAGTGATTCTAAGCAACATTATTCTTTTAGAATGTATTACTATCGTTGTTAGATTTTGATGTTTTCTTTCCCGTTTTGTAAGTTTTTTTAGTTTTATTCTTTACCAATAAATGTAATTCTTAACAATTGTTACCCGTATTCTATAAGAAATAATGTATTTTTTGTTTTTATTCTTCAATTGATTGTTTAAGAATTTGTTCTTCTACAAGAAGTTTTAAAGTCATGATCACGAAATAGGTTCAATAATATTTTTATTATTTATGGTTCAAGAATATTTTTTATTTTTGAATATACTCATAAACATATTCTGTCAGAATGTCCAAATTAAAAGAATTATAATTCGTAAAATCGGATTTTTAAAATTAATAGAATCTATGATCCCTTAAAAAAATGCAATTTTCCTTTATTAAATCTATATTAATGGACTAAATTACCCTTGTAATTAGTTAAGATGATATTTTTCAATTATATTTAATTCAATAATATATATTAATCACTTTCTTAAAATAAGTAAATTTGATTGGCCCATATTTATGCATACAATAACACAATAATTACTTTGAATAGAATAACCTAAGCCTATATATATATATATATATATATATATATATATATATATATATATATATATATATATATATATATATATATATATATATATATATATAGGGTTAATGTCATAAAAATCCTCAAGTTTTTAGAGTTTTGTCGGTTTTGCCCAAAGTTGAATTTTATGTCCGTTTTTACCCTCACATTTTCCAAAAAATGTTCGGTTTTACCCTTTTACCGGTGATAACAGGTTTTTCAGGTTAACATTATTTTATCTTCGCAAAAAAAACCCTTAAGTTTACAGTATTTTTACGTTTTTACCATTAATTTTATAATTTTTTTATACTTTTAATCTAAGTATTTTTTTTTATATTATACGTATTCATGCAGAAAAATCGTATTTATATACAAAAAAAGTTTAATTAAATATTGTATTACATTTTTTAAATGTTATATCTTTATGTGTGTGTATATATATATATATATATATATAGATATATATATTATATATATATATATATCTATATATATATATATATGGGTCTTTTTTCCCTGGATAAACCGTTTAAAATGTAATAAAAAACAAATTAATATGCTTTTAGAACTACAAATACATACTTTTATGTATTTAAAAATATACATATAAATAACAAAACTTGTTCAATCATAAACATGTTTATATATAATATTAAAAAAATATAAATACAACATTTAATTAAACATTTTTTTCGTATATAAACACGATTTTTTTGCATTAATACGTATATTATGAAAAAAAATACTTAGGGTAAAAGTGTAAAAAAGTTATAAACTTAAGGGTAAAAACATAAAAAACTGTAAATTTAAGGGTTTTTTGCGAAGTTAATATAATGGTAACCTAGAAAACCTGTTTTCACCGGTAAAATGGTAAAACCGAACATTTTTTGGAAAATGTGAGGGTAAAAACGGACATAAAATCCAACTTTGGGTAAAACCGACAAAACCCTGAAAAATTGAGGGTTTTTATGACATTAGCCTATATATATATATATATATATATATATATATATATATATATATATATATATATATATATATATATATAGTGTTAGGGCGTTGTGATGATACTTCAGACAAATATGGGTAGGTGTGGAAGGTAGTATGGCCCGTACTACTGAAAGCACAGGACCCATACGCGTAGCAAGGAAGTCACAACCCCTAGGGTTTTGTTGGGAGTTGGTTCCCGGATTATTATATGGAGTATCTAATATCTTCCTGGTATATTTTCGGCATGGTGGTTACTCGACGATTTGTGACTGGATCCGGGTCAGGATCAGGAGGTGGCGGACAGGAGGCACCAGCAGTGCCTGAGACTATCGGGCATATGGGGCCAGACGAGATGGACACCAGGATCCGGGAGATCCTGTACGATGAGGTTGCTGTGATGTTTCGGGCTCAGTTACCGGAGATGTTTGGGTCTATCAAGACCGCCATGGTGGAGTATTTTGATGAGCGTTATGCAGCCCTCACTGAGGCGGCTGTCGCAGAAGCTGTAATGGCGGCAGTGGGAGGAGCCAATCGGGCTTTTCAGTATCGGGACTTCGACAACACAAAGCCCCCTACTTTTGATGGGACTCAGGACCCCATCAAAGACATGAGCTGGCTTACTGACGTGGAGGGTTGTTTCTTCACGTGTTCATGTATTACTGACCAGAAGGTCAGATGTGCCCTGAACCTGCTGAGGTTCGGGGCAAAGGACTAGTGGAGGTTGATGACTGGATCGTATTATGATGATTAGAGAGCTGCAGTTATTTGGGAGTAGTTCAGGGATATGTTCTGTGCTCGCTACATTCCTCGAGTCGAGCGAGAGCGGCTAGCTCGGGAGTTTCTAGATTTAGACAGGATGGTGAGACGGTGACGGAGATCACCTGTATGTTCATGGAGAGGGCGATGTTCTGCCTGGAGTTTGATTTTGAGCAGGCTCAGATGACACGTTATCTGAGCATGCTCAAGACTGACATTCGACAGTTTGTGGCGACCCAACGTTGTGATATGCTTCTGGATCTACAGGAGGCCGCTAGACGGCGTGAGTTAGAGATTGAGCTGCAGTTGAGGGAGCAGCGGCACGCCCCGACATAGTCACAGTCGGCGCCAAAGCGGTTTAAGACTGTTGATTCTAGGTCGGGTGGACAGCAGGGCCGCACTTGTGGCAAGTGCGGGAAGGGTCACTCGGGGGTTAGCAGATCTGGTAGCGCATGCCGCAAAAGCGGCAAGTAGGGGCACTTTGTGTGGGAATGTCTCCAGCCAGACCCGGTTCATGATATGAGGATTTGCTACCACTGCCATCAGGTTGGTCATGTGAAGACCAACTGTCCACAGCTCGCTGCCAGGCCGACGCAGGCTCCAGCGTCGGCTACACTTAGGAGTACTGACGGGATTCAGGGTAGAGCAGCGCCCCCGAGGGCTCAGGGACGCGCCTTCCAGCTGACAGCAGTGGAGGCCAGGGCAGCACCAGACGTGGTTGCTGGTATGTTTCTATCCCTTATCTTACTGATTATATATGTTTTATGCTTATATGTTGTACCTATGATTAGGTACGTTTTTAGTGAATTCCTTACCTACTTTGGTATTATTTGACTCGGGGTGAGTCGGTCGGTTGTCTCTTAGACATTTAGTAGGGAGTTCAGTGTGCCAGTAGGAGAGCTAGAGTGTCCGTTGCGAGTCTCTATCGCCAACGAACATGAGGTTTCCGCTTCTTCGGTCTATCGGGATTGCATGTTGGAGATCTTCGGGGTACCTTTCCCGATAGACTTGATTCTGATTCCCATGGGGGATGTATGTGCGATTGTTGATATGGACTGGCTTAGTCGGTTCGGTGCCATGATCGACTACGAGGTTCAGCGGTTGGTAGTTCGAACCCCAAGTGGGGGAGAACTGAGTGTCTACGGCAAGGGCACCGGATTGGGATCAGGGTTTTGTTCGGCTTCCAGGGCTCGGAGGTACATTCAGCACGGGTGTGTGGGTTATCTAGAGTACGTGGTGGATACGCGAGTCAGGGATCAGGTTTCAGTATCAGAGGTTCCAGTGGTCAGGGAGTTTGCTGACGTGTTCCCGGAGGAGTTACCCGGAGTGCCTCCGGAGAGGCAGGTCGAGTTTAGGATTGTCCTAATGCCAGGTACGCCCCTATCGCCAAGGCGTCGTACCGATTGGCACCGCTGGAGATGCAGGAGATGTCATCACAGATACAGGAGTTACTAGGCAAGAAGTTCATTCGTCCTAGCAGTTCTTCGTGGGGAGCGTCGATCCTCTTCGTCAGGAAGAAGGATGGTTCACACCGGATGTGCATTGACTACCGGGAGTTGAACAAGTTGACGTTGAAGAACCGTTATCCACTCCCGAGGATAGATGACCTTTTTGATCAGTTGCAGGGAGCATCTTGGTTCTACAAGATAGATCTAAGGTCCGAGTACCATCAGGTCAGGGTTAGGGAGGAGGACGTGGATAAGACCGCGTTCCAGACTCGTTATAGACATTACGAGTTCGTGGTGATGCCGTTTGGGCTCACCAACGCGCCAGTAGTGTTTATGTACCTGATGAATCGGGTCTGCAGACCGATGCTCGATCGCTCGGTCATCATGTTTATAGATGATATCTTGGTGTATTCCAAGACCAGGGATCAAACATCCCGAAAATACGGTCCAAAAATTTCCTTTTAAAACCATTAATTAAAACCATAGTTATCAAAATCATTTCATCCAAAAACATAAGTCATCGTATCAAATCAGAATATCATATCAAAACACATGTTCATTATATCAGAGTAAAACATCCCAGACTAAAACATCTTGGTGTGTGCAATGCAGTCATCCCGAGCTCTTCTCTTTGCAACTGGAAGTACCTGAAACCAAAACGGAAAACCGTAAGCACGAAGCTTAGTGAGTTCCCCAACCTACCACATATCATACACATAAGCACAAATATTAGGCCCCCGCCCGCTACATCGGGCCCCGCCCGGCATCGGACTCTATCCGGAATCGGGCCTCGCCTGGCATCGAGCCCTGCTCGGTATACAGATCTGTTTCTCTTAGGCCCCGCCTGTCTCCGGGCCCCGCCCGCTATACACATACAAAAATAACATATAATCATACTAGCACATAAAGAAAACATACTCTAAATGTATTTCCTGTCCTAAGGCCTCGCCTAACTTGGGCCCCGCCCCTGTCCTGCTACAGATGAGTCATGGAACCCCGTCCATACTCAGCTAGTGATGAGATACGGGACCTCGCCCACACTCACCTCCCTACCAGGTACATACAAGTATCACACAGACAACAAGTATAATCTATCATGCAAACATTCCTCGGGCTTGACCCGGCATCGGACCTTAGTCCGGAATAACATACAGATAAACCTTCCTCGGGCCCCGCCCAGCATCGGA